GCAAAGTTCGCAAAAAAAATTCGTCAAATCTCAAAATCTCCCCCAAGCTTTGCATGGTTCCATGATCCGAATTAAATTTTGCACATAAATGCGGCTTACAGTTTTCGAAAGCGCGAATTTTTAGCTTTAATTTGAGTAGTCGGCGAGCATTGTGCGATTTTTTTTTACCGAGTTATTCAACATTGATGCCAAAATGGTCATTTTTGCTTTAATGTTGAATAACTCGGTGAAAAAAATCGCACAATGCTGATCGGGTGCTCAAATTAAAGCTAAAGATTCACGCTTTCGAACGATGTAAACCTCATTTGGGTGCGATTTTTATTTTACTTTTTGGAACTTCGCAAACTTGGTAAAAAATTTTTAGATTTGATGCATCTCCATTTGCATCCGTGCAGCTTTGTAAAGAATCAGTAAGTAATTTAATGAATTATGGATGTCGAAAGTAGAGACTTTAAGCTTTAAAATGCTTTTTTGATCATTCCGATACGATCATTTTTGACGAAGTTACACTCTCTTGAAATTTGCCTATTTTTAGTGATCGGAATGGGTGATGCTTTAATTTTGCTGTCGAGTGTATATACAGGGTGTCCAAAAATAAACTTTTGTCCTTAAAATGTCATATTCCTGATTCAATTCTGAGACGATTTTTCCTTTACCAAAATTTTATCCGAAGCTTAGCTTTCAAATTATAACGAAAAATAGTTAGCGAATTACGGGCCGCGTATGGAAGGTAGACAGGGTCGGCGCAACTTACTGTCGGACGCAGGCGGTACGCGGGGCTTTCACGACGATCAGCTGACTGCTACACGCGCGCATACACATGACATTTTAAGGACATGAGATTACATTCTCTCTTGCACGCGCACGCACGCACGCACGCACGCACGCACGCACGCCCTGTATACAGGGTGTCCGGAAATAACCACCCAAAATCTCGTGGGTTGATAGAGCAGATTAAACTGAATCGAAAAGTCCTCTACCATTTTGCAAAATTCACAATCGTTAACAAGATATTAATTTTTGAATATTGGCAAATAAGCGCGTATCCATCCGGCCCACCACGGAATATCAGCGGTGGGGCGGTCATGCCAGTCGTATCTTGCCGCGCTGCTACGCGCGTGGGGATAGAGTCTAGCAACAAGATATGACTGTCCCACCGCTGGTGTTCAGCGGTGGCCCGGACGGATACGCGTTTATTTGCGAATCTTCAAAAATTAATATCTCCTTAACGATTGCGAATTTTGCAAAATGGTAGAGGACTTTTCTGTTCAGTTTAATCTGTTCTATCAGTCCATAAGATTTGATACGGTTATTACTGGACTTCCTGTATATATACACTGTAATGTTGGTGCGATATGTTGCAATAACGGTGATGTATATCATACTGTAATATTTCAGAAATATTGCTACAATATTACATTGTGGTATAAATTATAATACCACATTAAAATATTTTGGTAATATCACAGCAATACTGCATTGTGATATGTCATATTACAATATTGTAGTAGAATCACGACAATATTATAATATGATATATCTCATAATAATACTGCTGCAATGTTGTTGCAATATATTGTAATATATCAGAATACAATATTATAGCAATATACCGAATTACAGCAATATTATATTGTGATATATCTCATAGTAATACTACTGCAATGTTGCTCAAATATTATATTATTGCTTTAATATTACTGCAATATTGTAATTTTGTTGCAATATTGCTGCAATATTAAGTGCTGTATGGGATATAACACCAATCCTGGACCGCATTTGCAAAATATTAGTGCGTTTTTAAATCTATAAAAAAGAAAGTGTCGCAATGTGTCCGTGACTGTACAGCTGCATCAAGCAAAGCGGTAGCGGCGCGACGCCAAGTATATAAAAGTCGGATATAAAAGCTAAAACTTAGCGTGCCCGGATTGCATTAATTAATAAAATATATATAAAATGCGAGCATGTAAAGTTTTTGCTTCACTATGATCCCATTGGTCAATACAAATACAAATACATATATCAATAATTAATCGACAATATCACAAATAAAAATTTGAACAGAGAAATTTTCGTTTATTGTAATTGGAATACAAGATTTAATAATAAAACGAATAATATTAAAATTACAGATATTCACGTGTATAATGAAAAGTATTTACAAGTACTTATATTATAATATTACATTTAAAGGTATATTTTTAATTTAAATATAAAACAAATTTATTAATTTATTAATAATTATATGATAGCTTTAACTTAATATATTACACGTCAGGTTTTTACATAAAAAATTAAGAAATATAACACAGAATTTACTTAATATTATGTTTTATTCAATTACATTTGTTATTGTTAGTTGATATAATGATATGTTACCAATTAAAAAAAACTCGGCAGAAATAACGTTGCCACGATTAGCAATGATACTTTCTTATTATATCTGTTCGAAAAGGATAATTTGTAGCATCTTCTGGTCAGTAATTGAACTAATTTTTTTATCAAGAGAAAGGGTGGGAGAAGAGAAGGGAGGAGAGAGATATAGAGAGAGAGAAAGAGAGAAAGAGAGAATAAGAGACAAGAAAGAAACATTGATTTTTTATATACATATATGCCAATCAAATACCAAAAATAGATAAATGTTTTTAACAAGAAAGTATCAGACATATAATAGATTAATTTATCATCGATTGTTTACGTCTGATTATCAAATTTTCGAAGTAATTCTATTACACGATCATACAATAAAGTTTTAACATCGATGGCCCCTAGAAAATCAAAATGCGAAAATAATTTATGTGGAATTTCCTCTAGCAGAATAACATTCGGCAAGTGTTTATATATCTCGAGGACATTCTGGAAATAAGAATACAAGATAATAAAATTAGTAATAATAAGAGAGATTTAAGAAATTATTTCTTAAAGAATGTTTTCATATATATAAATGCTAATAAGGTCAGATGAATTGAGAGTGGAGATAGAAGAGAAGAAGGAAAAAAAGAAGACAATGGAGAGGAGAAGATGGGGAAGGAGGAAAGAAGTAAGGGAAGACATTTCGTATAATATTAGAATAGAAAATCATGCAGTTCTATTTAAGAACTTAAGATAATCTTAAACTATTTAAATTTTAAAGAAAAATATCTTTGGTTTTTTTGCCTAAATTAGTTGTATCTTGCAACAATAAATAAAGTTTTGACCATAAACATATAAACTATATAATTTATTCAATACATATAATTTATTTAATTTTACTTCTTTTTAATATATTTTTTAATGAAAAAATTTTTTATATTAGTACCAAAAGTGATCTTACCGATTTTATAACACCCATATCATTAGCGCCGTAAAATAAAGCCATGGGTACAGTAACTTTTTTAAGATCATACGTAATAGGTGTTATTTGGCCATATTGTTTGTAATTGCCCAAATAACCATAGTCGTAAGATTGAAATTTCTCTACAACAAATATTAATTATCTACATAAATATAGAATTTAAATTAAAAGATGTTTACAAAGTTCAGCTTTTATTTAATATCATTTATTAAATATCACGTTATAAATGATGTGCTTAAAAGAATTACTACTGGGACGGTTATCTTAATTATATATGGCAAGCCGTTTTACTTTTTAATGATATAAAAGAAATTTAATCTATTGTAAAATTCTTAAAAAATATTTGCCTGAAAGATATTACGTTTCTTATTAATGAATTAAAATTATGTCGCGACATAATAATAATTCAACGAATTAAAATTATGTCGAAACATAATAGAAATTCGGAACTATTATTATGTTGCGACATAATTTTAATTTGTCGAATTATTATTATGTCGCGACATAATTTTAATTCATCGAATTATTATTATGTCGCAACATA